GGAGAGGGAGGAATGAGGCTCCTAAGGGACGGGAGAGACAAACAACTCTGATGCGGAGCTCTGCAGGGCAGGACCGACTTGAAGCTCTGTGTGTATGTGTATGTGTGTGTGTGTGTGAGCGCCTGCATGTGTGTGTGTTTCAGGTCTTAATAGTGGAACTTCTTTCTTTCCCACCAATCCATGGAGGAAAGCTCCGAAGGGGGTAGATGGAATTTGGAGCGTTCCAGCCATCCCAGCTCTCTCCCCTAGCAATGCTCTCATTTCCTCCATCCCGCAAGAACCACTTTGTCCCTCTCCTACTGCCCAGCCAACTCTGGGGAAGGAAGTCCCCCCACCCCCCAGCCCAGCTGCCTCTTCCAGCTGAAATCCTCCCTTCCTGGCAGACCTCAGGGACTCAGATCTTACCCCCACGACTCCCCCAGGAGAGCCGGGGGCCACTGTTTCCTGGATTATCCTAAAAAGCTTCCGAGGCCGTGAGGACTTGGCAGCATCCCTGCCCGCTCTTTCACCTCCCCCTTTGGCTCTGCCTGTCGCCTCCTTTATAAAGGAGCCTGGCTCTTTTATCACCACCACTTGCCCTGTTCCGCGGCTGCCAGCTCTGGGCTCCATGGACTGGTAAGAGAGGCTGTTCCCTGTCCAGGGCAGGGGACCTCCGCAAAGAGGAGCAGGTCTCCACTCTAAAATGAGGACCACAGAGAAGAGTCTGGAAGGCTTGATTCTCTCTGAATTGGGGAAGGGGAGATAAGAGGGAGATCTTGGTGGGGTCTGCATGGAGAACCAAAGGGGTTCCTTGGAGGTCTTTTGACTGGGCTGGGCTGAGATTGGGGGAGAAGAGGGTTAGGGATTCATGACTGAGGGTTCCACTCTGAAAAGATGGGCAAACACTAATAGACCCACAGGGCACACACACTCATGTATGGAGGCTCATGAATAACAGAACACCTTCAGAGGTAGTAAGGGAGAAGCCACCGTACGTGTCCTGTGGGGAACTCCCTTTGTGATGGATGAGAGAGGACAGACACCCTGTGCTCAAGCCCACAGGTACACACAGGCACAACATGTACACATAGGCATGATGTGCCCACACATTTGCAGATACACACACACACCAACACACAGACGCACTACCCTCAGTTGGGTTCATCTTTTAGACTGAAAAGAGACGGTGGATGCTAGTGATATTTGAATTATAATAGAATTAGTGTTCAGTATAGTGCTTGGCCTTGGACAGATCCTCAGTAAGTGTTTGTTGAATGAATAAAGGACAAATGAAAGAAAACTATTTGACCTCAAGCTCTGGGCTCTGCCTGGTTTTCCAGGAAATCAGGAGAGTGGGGCAGGGAGAGGAGGGAAAAGGAGGAATGTGTTTGTGTCCAGAGTTACTAGTTCACAGTCTTGGAAGTGCAGCCTGGAGGTGGGAGTAAAGGAGAAGAGTGAACTAGGAAACCAAGAATCAAGAGACTGGGATTCTGGCCCTTGCTCTGCTTCTAACTTGCTGTGTGACTTTAAGCTACTCGCCTCCCTGTTTTGAGGTTCAGTTTCCCTATCAGTAAAATTATGGCTTGGACTAGACAATTTTTAGGGGCAGATCAGCTTTGATATCCTCACGGTGCAATTTCTACAGGGCCGTTGAGGTTTAGAAGGGACCAGAGGTGTAGAGTGTGACTTATCCGAGCAATTCAAGACGGGATCAGTTTGTCCTATTAGACTTAGGATGACAGATGGCTTTGATCTAGGGATCGGTTTACAAATGCTGTCCCCTCCACCTTCAGGATCTAGGGGAGCCAGACTCCCAGGGTCATCACTTCTGCCATAGTGAGTCCAGATGGAAGAGCAGGCAGAACACAGGGTTTGGAGGCTGACCTATCTGGACTCAGTTTCCTCCTCTGTTTCTTAAACTCTATAATCTGGGGCAGGTCATTTAACTTCTTTGATCCTTGGCTTCCTCATCGGTACAATGGGAATGTTAATAATTATTTTGCTGCATGCTCATGAGAATTAGAGATATTTGTGTAAAGCACCAGGAACCTAGTAGTGCTCAATTAACAAATGCTGGTTATGATGAACACACAGACTAATGAAGCTGTTCCAGGTACAAAATGGATCGTCAACTATAAATGAGGCTTGAGGAGAAGAGGGGTGGCAGAAATGGGAGGTGGACACTTATGGGGGAAATCTATTTAACCCCTTGAGGGAATGAGGGAGAGGAAGAGAGGAGAAATTGCCCAACTCTTGGGCAGATCTCATTTAGTGTAGGAGACATGGTGGGGGACATTGTTCAATTTTGAGTAGAGGAAAGAATACGAGCAGTGGGCTGCGGCAACCTTGGTGGTCATGTCGACGTTAGACCATGGCCATTATTCAGTGGAAAAACATCTAGCAAGTGGGAAACTGCAAGGGCTGGAAGCAGAAGACAAGCAGAGGGAGATCCAGAAGAAAGAGAGTGATGGTAACCTGAGCGAGAGGCAGAAACATAGATAGGAAATCAGAATGGCTGAGTTTTTCCAGAGACAACTTCGTTATTGTTGAATTTCATGCTGATGAGCCGCAGGAAGATGGAGGGTCTTTGCTGCTGGAAACCCCAGGTGGCTGTGGGTCTGGTTGGGGCATGGTAGGGTTAAAGGGGGCCTGGGGGGAAAATGGGATGGAGTATCTGCCATGCTAGGGCTGTATTCCCTCTCCCTGTTGCTTTCTAAGGAAAGACAGAAGGGCTGGGAAGATAAGGCAATCTGGCTTCTATAAATGGGAGGGGGGCTCAGTCCTCCCAACCCAGAGTCAGACTCCTGTGCAGGTGTCAGCACCTTAAGAGCAGGAGACAGCAACAGTAGGCGGCTGAGAGGAGAAGCAGCAATGCAGGAATGCCATGGGGTCAACCAGTCATAACCCAGCAATCGGAGTCCCTGAGTCGGGTCAGGGGCTTTGTTCTGGACATGATGAGCCCCTACTCTGTTCCATAGGTGGCTGTGAACTGGGATACAAACCCAGCTACCCAGCATTTGCAGGCAGAATGGATGGAGATAAAACTTGATGAAGCTGATGAAGAGAGTTATCAATTTAGCAGTGGCCACATAGATCCAAAGGTCCAGAGCACCCAGGGTCCCAAATACGGGGAAGGAGATCCTGGCTGATCAGAAATCTCAGTTCCAAATGTCTGCCCTTCGCCCTGCAGGAAACTGAGGCTTAGAGCCACCTGACCCACCAGGGTCAGATTAGCAATACAGGGCTGGGACTAGAATTTAGGTTCATCAACTTCTAGTTCAAATATCTTTGTGAATATACCTTAATACAACCACCATTTGCCAGAAACTGAATAATTTAATAATTATAACAGGGATATCTTCCATTTACCCTGTGCTTACCAGGGGCCCCAGGGGCTAAGTATTTTTAGGTACATTAATTCCTTCAAGCCCCAGGAAACCCTACCAACTTGTATCCAGGTTGTCCAAGATAAGGGAATTGAGCCTTAGAAAACAGGGAGATGCACAGATGACTCATACATTGACTCTCGATAAGAATATGTGCGTGTTTGGGGGGAACCACACGCACACAGATTGATTTCCATGTGGCTTGTGGACTCAGTTTAGTGGTTTTAAAGTCATGCTTAGTGCACCAAACTGGAATGCAGGACAGGTAAACTAATGGGGGTGGAGGAGGGGGTGTAGAGGCAAAATTGAATCAGCCCCAATTCCATTCCAGCAGCTGTACGAAATCCACTGTAAAGACGAAAACGAAATTTTGAAACGCCAATGGCAAAGAGCATAGCCGAAGCCAAACCGAGGGAGGACAGAAATAGGGAGAGTGATCAGAATCTCCCTGCAAAAAAGGGGCCACCGCCAGAGGTCAACCAGTTGGCAGGGAAGGCACGTGGGGGGTGGGGAGCAACCGGCAACCTCAGCGCGGGAGGACAGCAGGGTGTGGGGGGGGACTTCCCTACTGACCTGTGCTTGGAGGGTCTCGGAGATCTGGACTTATCCAGATCTTGACAGAAGCATATAGATGAGCACCGCAAACGCCCTGAAATTTTACCAGAATGTTGCATTATGCATGTGCGTTTGTTTTTCTCAAAGGAATCCAAGACCTTTCTCCAAAGTTAAGAACCTTGGGTTGAAATATTCAGGTGAGAACTGGAAAGGAGTGGTGGCAAAAGGTCGCTCAATTCTTTCCAGAAGTGTCCCTTCCTAGGGCAATTCAGGGACCTGCCCAAGCTTCAGAACCTGGTGTGCCGGGGTGAGGATGTGGGGCGCAGGCTGAGCTCCTCCGGGACCGAGAGGAAGAGGGTGGGGAGCGGACTTGAGAGCTGGATTTAGGAGGCTCTGGGGTTGCTGCCTAAGGCGAGGTGTAGAGTGAGAGCTGCGGGGGGGCCTGGGAGACGAATGGGGGCGACAGAGACCGGCGGTGGTGGGGACATTGCCGGTAGGGAGGAGAGGAGATGGTTGCCCAGAAAGGTCAAAGAGGGAAAACTGGAAAGCGAGAGGGAAAAGCACGGGGGTGGGGCGTGGAGAGAAGTGGTGCCGAGGGGGAGGGGGGGTGAAGGAGAGCAGCCGAGACAAAGTTCTTGTGGCCTGGGTCTGCACCCGACACATACTGGGCGCTCAATCCCATTTTTTTCTTTCCCCTTAGTTCCGGGCAGCGCTGCGGAAGGGCCGTCGGGTGGGCAAGGGCCGTCGAGGCAACCTAAGGGTTGCCACCTATGGGTGGCTCAGTGTCACCTCTAGGACCCGCCCCCTTCCGCATTCCCCCAGGGTCTGAGCCCTGCGTCCCCTGTCACACCGGGCCCCTGGGGCGAGTCTCAGAACCTGGGAATCCCCGCGCCCGGGCCCCTCGCCCAGCGAATGGAGGGGACAAGGCAGGAGCGAGGGAGCGGGCGGGATACGGCCTAGTTAACCCTCCCTCCCCCACTCCCGCCCGCCCCCTCTTCGCCGGGCTGGGCCTCCGGTCCGGCCGAGCCCGCAAGGGTTAAAGGCGGCCGCAGGTGAGGTGGGCGGGGCCGCGAGTTCGGGAAAAAGCAGCGCTGGGGAGAGGATGAAGGCAGAGAGCGCGGGTGAGTCACGGGCGGAGCTGGCCTCGCTCGCTCGCTCGCTGGCTCCCGCCCGCCCGCCCTCCGCCCCCCGCCGGCTCCCACCGTCTCCTCCGCCGCCGCCCGCCGCCCGCCGCCCGCTCCGGCTCGCCCTGGGCTCCTGCCCCTCGCCGCTGCAGAGCCCGCCGGCGCGCGGGGCCCGCGAGCGCCCGTCTGTAGCGCACCAGCCAGCCGCGCCCGCAGCCCGAGCGCAGCCTCGAGGTAGGAGCCCGAGTCCGGGTGGCCAGGGGTGCGCACCGCGGAGATCCCGTCGGAGAAACGCGCCGCAGCCGCCGCCGGCCTTGGGAGGGGGGTGGTTCTAAAGGATCTGAGGGCCTTAGAGTCCCGACGGAGGGAAAACCAGGAGAACGGGAGAGACTGGAGGGACCAAGGAGGTTGGAAACTAGGGGAACAGGAGCAACTGGGACAACCGGAGGACTGGAACTTTGGGAACTGGGAGTACTGAAGTCCCGACCACCTGAGCGCCGGTGATCCGGAAAGGCAGCGGTGGGATGAGACACAGGGTGTCTCTACTCGCCTTCCTGCGTTGAGGAGCGGGAAGCCTGAGATGTGCGCCCCGCTCTCTCCCATCCTGAAACCTTGGTAGCAGGCCATTGCATCTCAGGCCTGGGCTCTCTGGCTCTCCGTCGGGAGAGGCCACTCTGGAGTCTGGGTCGTCCTAGCCTTCCCACCCCCGAGCCCCTGGGGCAGTTCCCAGGCGCCAAAAGCTATTAGGGTCCCAGGTCTCACTGCTGCCGCCCAGCCCCTCCTGGGCTGCCCCGCCCCGGCCTGAGGCTCCATTACTGCCGCTTCACCCTGTTCCTTTCTTGTGGTGAGGCCGCTGGAGCCTGAGTAGGCGCCCCGTCCTCTCTCCCAGACTACCAGTGCCACCTCCCTGATCCCAGAGGCAGAAGTTGGGAGGGTCAGTTGAGCCCTGCTGTGGGAAGGGAAAGACCCTACCCTGGCCTTCTCCGCTCCTACCCCCCTACCCCCATCAGAGAAGGCCCAGGCACACAAACTCACACAGCTGAAGCACCGGCCATGGCTCCCAGACATTTGGGAGAGGTAGTGAGAAGAGGGGGACCTCCAAGTCACAGATATGTGAGGTGGGGGTCTTCAGGTACCTAATGGTTTAGGGACAGAGTAACAGACTAGGAGTCCAGGAGTTGGGAGACTTGGTTCAAGGAGGCACTGCGCAGTACATGTTTGTTGACTGAATGAATAAATGAACATCCTTGTTCAAGTCACTGCTCCAAATTCAGCCTGTTCCCTCTTCTTTAGAAGAAGAATGTGGGCCTGGAGCAGTGGTTCTCAACAATTGGCTGCATATTACAACCATAGCATCTATCTGGGGGACTTCTAAAAATGACCCATGCCTGGGATGCACCCCCTTATATAATCTAATCTCTTTGGGCAATTTTTACTCTTAAGTTCTGTGATTATGGCTTCTCTTGTTGCCCTCCTCTTTCCGCACTCTGACCCTGCAACCCTTAAGGGGGTGGTAATTGTACCTTCCCAAGCTTGCTGGTAAGTTCCTCTCTGGCTGCCCCCTTCTCTGGCAAAGCCACTGTCTCCCAGCTTCATATCTGAGTCTCCCTATCACGGAGAAGAGCATGGGTGGCAGTCAGAGAGTTGGCTGACACTGGCGTGGGTCAGGACAGGGAAGGGGACTTGACTTTCTCTGGTGGGGGGAACTCCCCCAGAAACTGGCACTGCAGCTGCACCCCAGGGAGGTGAAGTCCCTGCCCGAGAGAAAGGGGGGGGCAGGCGGTGGAGTAGGTTTTGTGGGGCTCATGCAACTAGGCTAGGCAGGAAGCTGGGGGGAGCAGTACAGAGGGGTTTTCTTCACAGAACATGCCTCGGTTGATTGCATGAGAACTTTATCTCTAAAAACTCAGGACCTGCTTTGGGCTTTCTGAAGGGCAGGTCACCTCAAGTTTTGGGTTTTGGAAACAGACCACCCCCTCTCCCTGTCTGTTTCAGGAGTTAAGCTGGGGAAGCTGAGATGAGTCTCGATGCTCCATTTGGGCTGGCAGCAGGTCTGCAGGGGGAAATGCCACTGCCCCTTGTGCTGGCCTGGGCAGCTGGGCTGGAGATGGTTCTAGCACTGTAATGTTGATAGGTCTGACCTACCAGCCTAGGAGCAACTCAACTCCAGGGATGAGCTGGGTCCTATGGGAGAGATCACCTAGAGGAAGTAGACCTCCATCATCCTCTGCCCTTGGTTAAGAGCCTCACATCGTCAACCTTCCTGGCACTCCCAAATTCTCTTATCTTTAGTCCCCACCCAGAGGTGCATCTCTCTTTTTCACTTGGGGGCCAGAGAAGAGCAGGGAGGGGATCTGGGTTAGGAGGGAAAGTGAGTTGGTTACTTTCCTTACTTCTCTTCTTTGCCTCCTTTAGGTCCCATCTGAGGTGCCGCTGACCGTCCCTGTCCCCCACCCCGGATCCCGGCAATGCTAACCGCTGTCTGCGGCTCTCTGGGCAGCCAGCACACGGACGCGCCTCACGCCTCCCCGCCGCGCCTTGACCTGCAGCCTCTCCAGACATACCAGGGCCATACGAGCCCGGAGGCCGGGGACTACCCCTCCCCGCTGCAGCCTGGAGAGCTGCAGAGCCTCCCGTTGGGCCCGGAGGTGGACTTCTCACAAGGCTATGAGCTGCCGGGGGCCTCCTCGCGGGTAACCTGCGAGGACCTGGAAAGCGACAGTCCCTTGGCCCCGGGACCCTTTTCCAAGCTCCTGCAGCCGGACATGTCACACCATTATGAATCATGGTTCCGGCCAACTCATCCAGGCACCGAGGATGGCTCGTGGTGGGACCTTCATCCGGGCACCAGCTGGATGGACCTCCCCCACACTCAGGGCGCGCTGACCTCACCTGGCCACCCGGGGGCGCTTCAGGCTGGCTTGGGGGGCTACGTCGGAGACCATCAGCTTTGTGCCCCGCCACCCCACCCGCATCCGCACCATCTCCTCCCACCTGCCGGAGGGCAGCATCTCCTGGGGCCGCCCGACGGGGCTAAGGCCTTGGAAGCGGCCGCCCCTGAGTCCCAAGGGCTGGATTCCAGTCTGGACGGGGCGGCCCGGCCCAAAGGCTCCCGGCGGTCAGTGCCCCGCAGCTCAGGCCAGACCGTGTGTCGCTGCCCCAACTGTCTGGAGGCCGAGCGACTGGGGGCTCCGTGTGGGCCCGATGGGGGCAAGAAGAAGCATTTGCACAATTGCCACATTCCAGGCTGCGGGAAAGCCTATGCCAAGACGTCGCACCTGAAGGCACACCTGCGCTGGCACAGCGGCGACCGTCCCTTCGTGTGCAACTGGCTCTTCTGCGGCAAGCGCTTCACGCGCTCCGATGAGCTGCAACGCCACCTCCAGACCCACACGGGCACCAAGAAGTTCCCCTGTGCAGTTTGCAGCCGGGTCTTCATGCGCAGCGACCACCTGGCCAAACACATGAAAACCCACGAGGGCGCCAAAGAGGAGGCTGCTGGGGCGGCCCCGGGCGAGGGCAAGGCCAGCTGCGCGGTGGAGCCCCCGGGGGGCAAAGGCAAACGGGAGGCCGAGGGCAGCGCAGCTCCTTCCAACTGAGCTTCCTTGGTGCCGCTTCCCTGCTGATCTCTGGAGGGCATTGGATGAGAGCCCCCAGGTCTGACACCCTTTGGGGGGCGACTTAAGTAAGAGGGGAAGGTGGTTATTTATTGAGGGGGGAAAGTGGTGCCGGGACAGGGAGATGAGGCGCTAGGGTTTTTTAGTCTCTGGGGCTGGACGCGACGCGTTTGTTGGGGCCGGGAGGAGCTGCGCGCACCCCTCTGTTCTTCCCTTCCTCACTATTTCACTCGTCCCTGGGCTGGGGGGTTAGGGTGAGACACCCCTACTGCAGCTGGAGGGTGGAAGGGACAGGCTGGAGGAGAGGGTGCCTCCCGCATCCCTGGAGGCATCCCGGGAGCCGAGAGGAGTGGGGCCGGCCGGGGCGCTGGGGGTAGATGTCTGGACACGTCCCCAGCGCCTGGGAACCGGAACATAAAAGCGCCTCCGGAGCCTCCCTGCGGCCCGGGTCTCTTTCATTCCCCATAAAGTGCTTCTGCCCCTAGGGTTTCCGGAGGGAGCGCTGAGATGGGGTGGGGGAGGCTGGGGGTCTCCCTTGGCGGGGTGTCTCTATCTGGCTTGGAAGGTTGTTGCTGTAAAAATAATTCCTTTGATGTGCCTCCTTATTAACCCTTCCAGACCCAGGCTGATGGAGCCATGAAGGAAGAGGGGAAGAGGGCTGAAATCCTTGACAGCCTCCCAGCCAGGGCCGCGGTGGAGGGCAGTTAGATGTGGGGGTGGGGGTGAGCGGGGGAAGTCTCCTAAAACAAGAGAAAGGGATTTGGTGGGGGAATGGAAGGAACTAACCCCTTCCCTTTCCAATTCTCATTCAGCCCTTAACTCTTGGTCTTTATAAAAAATACAGTTCAGTGGCCCACAGTCCCCATTTACTACTCTAGGTAGATTTTCAAGGCAGCCAGTAGCCCCAGCTGTAGAATTGACGTAGTTCCTTACCCTGGGTTCCCATCCTTTGCCTTTCCCTTGGGGATGGAAGGAAGAGGGTTATTTGGGCTATTTGGGGGCATTAGCCCCAGCAGAGGGACCTCCAGAGGTTCCCACTCAGAGTGGAGGACTCTGCCCCTGCCTGCCAGTCTCCTGGCCATCTCCTTGCCACCTCCTTGGCCATCACGAAGAAGCTGGGCCGCACTCTTGCTTCAGCACGGCCCTTGCCTTTCCCTCGCACCGGCAAGCCTTGCCCCCATGGTAGAGTGTGCCTAGGATGCTCCTTCCTCCCCATCTGATCTCCGAGTGTGGGAAGCTCCCGTTCTACATGAAGGTGTTCTCCTTCCACTGCAAGGGGTTCTGCCTTCTGAGGTGACATCCAGGAAGCCGTCCCCATTCCCTTCTCCTTTAGATGCTAGAAATACATTTTGATTATGATCATGGGGTTGGGAGGGAGGGATGGAGGGAGGGGAGAAGCCCAGCAGAGGCTGAGCCAGGCAGAGGGGAAAGAAGCTGACATTCGGAAGGGTCTGGCAGGCCACAGGCTCCTGGAGCTGGGGGGCTTTCCCAGGCTCCAGGGTGAGGCCTTAGATTCCCTCTGACCCCTCCCCCTCCCCTTGCTCCCTTTCTCCACCCAGAGCCCTCTGCGGGATTAGCTGTGTATTGATTTTTAAGTTATAAGCAAAGGGTATTTTATTTAATATTAGGGCATGTATGTGTGCACGTTGTGTGTGCCTGTGTGTGTGTGTGTATGTGTGTGTTTCTCTACTGAGCCTGGGGTCTCCAGCCAGGGAGACCCCATCTTGTTCACCCTGTCCAAGTTCCTGGGGCCTAGGCCCACAGCATCTCTTCCTCCCTTGGGGATGCTGAAGCCCAGTCCAAGGTCTGGGAGCTACATGGGAAGCGGGGCTGGGATCTGGGTGGGAATATGTGTTTGTGTAGAAAGGGGCCCTCCTTAAAAGGGACAGGGGTGGTTTTCCCTGAGGGACTCATTGGCCTGGGGTAGTTTAAGAGGTAATGTTCTTTCTTTCTTCTCCCTCTCTTCCCTACTTCCTGCTAACCTGAGCAGAGGTCACCTTCCTGGCTGAGAGAGTGGGGGGCAGGAGGAAAGCTGACAGTGCCTGCAGGTGGAGGGGGCAGAAAGGGAGGGCACTGTGGGTGTGGGATGCCTTTCTCCTCCACCCATCGAAACCAGCCACCCCCTCCTTGTGCCACCAAAACAGCCTTTTCCACTGGCCATTCTAAGGGGAACTCCCAGATGGGTGTTGGTGGTGGGAGGACATGGATGTTCCCCCCTATAGAAGCCCCAAGTTCTAAGGTATGCGCTGGGGGCTTTGGATAGGTTTTCTTCTGCTCCCCTGTCTTATAGATCTAGGTCGCTTGGCTGCCTGCCTTTCTAGGCAGCCCCCCTAGAGGAAAATGTAGGAATTTTTTTCTTTAACTGCTGTGAACCCACTTTGGGGGGGAGGAGGAGGAGGAAGAAACAGCCTGTGTTTTTTATGCAAAAATAAAGTCATCAACCACATCATGCCTCACTTGTGTTCCAGCTCCATTTCCTTTTTGACTCCGTGTCCCTCAGCCGTAAGGGCCAGGTCTGGGCTGCAGGGAGGGGTGGACACTTCCCTTGGGTGCTGCACCTCCATGGGGTTGGGTCAGAGCTGGGACCCTGGGTCTGATCCTTCCTGGAAGTGGCTGGTACAGAAGGTGGGGGAACATTCCCTTTAGGTTGATAGCTGGGCTGTCCCTCCCTGGTCTTCACCTGTGGGGATGAGAAGGTTCTAGGTCTTTCCTCCCTCCTCCACATTTAAGCCCCTTCTGTCTCCCGCCCTGCTAAGAACACTGGTTCCCTCCCTTCCCAGGCATAGCTGGCCTCTTGGCTCCCTCATCCCGCCCTCACGGGGGTGTGCATGTCAGCCATCCCTTTGGTGAGGGTGACTGGCAGTGATTTCTTCACCCAGGATGATCCTTATCAAGGACAAGGTGATGAAAGGCAGCCGAGATATCTGATGGGCTCCCGCCCAGCTGGAAAGTATGAGGGAAAGGCCCCTGCTACAACTCACAGCTCGAGACCCGCCACAGTTACACAACCGTGGTGTGCACAAACATACCCCCACCAGACCTATGGTGGGCCCGCCCTTGCAGATATGCAGAAATACCCATGCGCACGCATTTTCCCAGGCCTCCTGATGCCTGGCACATAGTTGGTGCCTAATTCATGTCAAATGAGTTAAAAGCCTCAAGACTCCAGAGCTTCAAAGCTAGGACGCTCAACAGAAGATCGGTTTTCGGATCCAAAGGGACAGGGTGTAGGTTATTGTGTTCTTTCACCTTTCCACCCTACTTTTTGCCAAAGTTATTTTCTCCTAATGGGATTCCTATTTCCCCCCATTCTAACCCTAACCCAATTTCTCGAAAGCAAATCTGGTATTCAGGTTGGCCCATCCAATCACTTATCTGGGAGACTCTGGGGTCACACGGTTTAAGGCTAGCTTGGGATGAGGGCATGACAATGATTTAGGGCTTACAGAGGAAACAGACAGGTTTGGGGGCCAGTTGTTTGTTTCCATCTGCTCCTGACTGAGAAGGCTGGGAGCAGGAGGGACAGGTGTGTTTTCCTGTGACTGCATGCCTGCCCCACTCCTGCAGGTGCCTCTTTTGTCCTCCTGGTTCTGAGGGAGTTAGACCCCAGGAACCTGGCGCACGCCCTCCTCCTCTCCCCACGGCTGCCCTAGGGACAGGAGGGCAGCTGCAGTCCGGCCGGGCCTGTCTGGGCAGGGCTGGGGCCGCCCCTCCTCCCCTTGCAGCTCCTCCCTCCCGCTGACCTGCATTCTTAGCGGGGGCCTTTGGTGGGGCTCTGACGCTTGCTTCCTCGCTTGCAATGCTGCCTGGCTGGCCTGGCCCCCCTGACAGAGCCCAAGGCCACTTCTGACCCCTCAGATGTGGCGCCTTGGTAGAAGGATCTGGAGGGAAATCAGAACATCTGGGCTGGCTCTCTGAGTGACCTCTCTGAACCATCTCTTCTCCTGGGAAGTGGGAGTCGAGTCTCTCTGGGGTGGTTGAACGAAATAAGGAATGGGAAAATGACAGAGAAGAAGGCAGCCTGGGAGCTGCAGCTTGGGGCTGCGCGGCCTCTCCTCCCCTCTCCTCCTGCCCATTCCCGTCCCCCAGCGGACAACCGGGGAAGTGCAGGAGGCGAACCACCTTCCCTGCAGGTTGCTTTGCACGCCCATGTTCGCCGGCACACAGCCTTGACGTTTGCTTCTGGAATGACACCCAATGGCAACCTCAGAACCCCTCCCCGACATTGCACCAGAAGCAGGCTTCACCTTCCCATCCATTCTGGTGTGCCTGACTGCTCAGCGTCCTGGCAGTGTAGGTTTGAAAGAATCCTTGAAACCAAACTCTACCAAATAACTGTTAGAACTAATAAGCAAAGGATACAAAGTCAACATACAAAAATCAGTAGTGTTCCTGTACGCTAGCAACGAAGGATCTGAAAAATAAACCAAGAAAACAATAGCTTTACAACAGCTATCAAAAAAAAATATTTAGGAATAAATTTAACCAAGGAGGTGCAAGATCTGTACACTGAAAACGATAAGACATTGATGAAAAAAATTGTAGACACAAATAAATGGAAAGACATTTTGTGTTCATGGACTGAAAGAACTAATGTCACTAGGCCTATTGCAGTGGCTCACGTCTGTAATCGTAGGACTCTGGGAGGCTGAGGCAGGAGGATCACTTGAGGTCAGGAGTTCGAGACCAGTCTGAGCAAGAGTGGGACCCCGTCTCTACTAAAAATAGAAAAAAATTAGCTGGGAAGCTAAAAATAGAACAAAAAAAATTAGCCAGGCGTGTTGGTGCGCGCCCGTAGTCCCTGCTACTTGGGAGACTGAGGCAAGAGGATTGCTTCAGTCCAGGAGTTTGAGGTTGCTGTGAGCTAGGCTGATGCCACTGCACTCTAGCTCAGGCAACAGAGTGAGACTCTGTCTCAAAAAAATAAATAAATAATATCGCTAAAATGTCCATACTACCCAAAGCAATCTATAGATTCAATGCAATCCCTAGAAGTAGATAATCTGCAGCATCTCCCCTCCTTCCATTCCTGGAGAGCTCCACAGAGCAAAAGAGATGCATTTGCTTAAATGCTGGTTATGGAGAGATGGTTTATGGAGAAAATGAACCAGAAACCAGAACGTTAGGGATCAGAGCCCACCTCCACATGGCCGTGTGTCCTCTTTGGCCAAGCTTCTCCTTTGCTGTCTCAGTTTCACTACACTGTAAAGGCGCCAAATCTTTGAACTAGAAATTTCTACATTTCCTTTCAAGGTTATCTTCCTATCAGTTTGAGCACTGTGAGACAGAATAGGCTTTTTGTGCATATGTGCCTTTTTAAAAAAATGCATTACCAGACCACTCTGCTATGTACAGGTATCTTATTCCCCTGGGCGCTGCTACCCTTGCATCGAGCCTTTATAAGTCAAGCCAGGACTCAGGTAGTTGAGGTTCTTTCTTTCTTTTTTTCGTAAAACAAAGTCTCACTCTGTTGCTAGAGTGCTGTGGCGTCAGCCTAGCTCACAGCAACCTCAAACTCCTGCGCTCAAGCGATCCTTCTGCCTCAGCCTCCCGAGTAGCTGGGACTACAGGCATGTGCCACCATGCCCGGTTAATTTTTTAAATATATATATTTAGTTGTTCAGCTAATTTCTTTCTATTTTTTTAGTAGAGACAGGGTCTCGCTCTTGCTCAGGCTGGTCTTGAACTCCTGAGGTCAAACGATCCACCCATCTCGGCCTCCCAGAGTGCTAGGATTACAGGCGTGAGCCACCGCGCCCAGCCGAGGTTCTTTCTTAATCTCCAGATGTACCAGCAATCTCTGCTCTCTGACAAATCCTCCCTTTTAACGCAGGCTTCTTTCCACCCCCAGCTCCAGCTCCCCGCAGCGACCCCATTGGATGAGCCTGCAGATTAGTCCCAGCCTTTACCAGGCCTGAAAGCGGTACCAGAGTAGGGCAGGGAGCCAGGTAGGGCTTGCAAGGCCGCTCGGCTCCTACAAGTGGTGCTAGCGCGCGCCCTGGTGGAAAGCGGCGGAACTGCAAGTGCTCTGTTCGGCTCCGCCCCCTAGACCAAAGGCCTTCCAGGTCACCTGGGAGTCTCCGCCCAATGGGACCAACCTGACCCGAAGCGGAGGAGGTGGCGCCGGGGACCAAGGTGGGGGTCTTGTGGGGAGAGATCGTGAAAGGCATACAGCACTGGGGACGCGAGGAGTGGACAGAAGAGGGGTGGGTGTCTGGGCATGCGCAGTACCGTGGGACTCTTGGAGACGGGTAGGCTCCCGAGAGAAACAGTCCCACAGCGGCCCCAAGGGCCAGGACTCCCAGTAGGGGCAGGACCCTCAGAGCGTGCAGTGTCTGCGCCCGCCTGCTGACTCCCGAGCCTGGATCTTGGGGAAAGCGTGTGCCTCCGTTTGTGCACTGCGTGCATCGCGTGTGCGTGAGGTGCTGAGCGTCCCGGAGCCAACGGCAGCGTCTTCCCTGGGTGTCTGCTTGCACGTGTTGGGGGAGGGAGCTCCCCACGGCTAAGCCGTGGCCAGGATCACGAGAGGTGGCAAGGGGGAGACACACATCCCCACCTCTCCCCAGATGGCATCGTCGAGCCCTGAAGCCCCATGTTCCTGCGACTGCTTTGTCTCCGTGCCCCCGGCCTCAGCCATCCCAGCCGTGATCTTTGCCAAGAACTCTGACCGACCCCGGGACGAGGTGCAGGAGGTGGTGTTTGTACCAGCAGGCACTCACACCCCTGGGAGCCGGCTGCAGGTGGGTCAGGCCTTATGGGGTGCTGGGAGAAGTGGCAGATCTAGGCATTCTTCTAAAACCTTCTTCTCCTGCTCCCCACATCTGAGAGGCTGCCAGAGGTAGTGGAAAGAGCGTGAGCTTCAAGTCTACCAACTTGGACCTTGAGCTGATCACTTGGCCTCTGTCGACCTCAGTTTCCTCCTCTGTAAAATGGGAATAAGACCTTCCTCAAAGTGACGTGTAAGGTGATGGGCAAAGTGCCATCGTGTTGTAGGTGCTACCCCCTTTCTGAGTGGCGTCTTCCTTTCTCCTCCCTCACCTCCAGTGCACCTACATTGAGGTGGAACAGGTGCCGAAGACGCACGCTGTGATTCTGAGCCGCCCTTCTTGGCTGTGGGGGGCTGAGATGGGTGCCAACGAGCATGGTGTCTGCATTGGCAACGAGGCCGTGTGGACTAAGGAGCCAGTTGGAGAGGAGGACGCCCTGCTGGGCATGGACCTACTCAGGTGTGGACAGTGCCCTCCCTTATCTCCCCCCAACACACCAGAAATCTGGGAGCGGAGCCTCTGTGGACCTCAGTTTCCTCATCTGTAAAACAGGAAGACCTGGGCTCATCCTCCCTTTCCCCAATATGGTCCTCAGGGGCCTCCTCCTCTCTGCTCTCACCAGGAAGGCTGCCTTGCCTCTCCTCTCTCTGGGACCCTTCTCCACAGTCTGATAAGGAGACTCCAAATGTAGCCACTTTTAGGCCTCTCCTGGACCAGAAATAGAGCAGTGTTTTAAAATTCTTTTTCAATGGACGTAAAATTATTTTCAATTGAAATCTATGTAGGCCAGGCATGGTAGCTCACGCCTGTAATCCTAGCACTCTGGGAGGCCGAGGCAGGAGGATTGCTTGAGGTCGGGAGATTGAGACCAGCCCAAGCAAGAGCGAGACCCTGTTTCTACCAAAAATAGAAAAAATTAGCCGGTTTAGTGGCACTCGCCTGTAGTTCCAGCTACTCGGGAGGCTAAGGTAGGAGGATCGCTTGAGCCCAGGAGCTGGAGGTTGCAGTGAGCTATGATGACACCACTGTACTCTACCCGGGGTGACAGAGTGAGACTGTCTCAAAAAAAAATCTCATATAGAGTCCTGATTCATAAAATTTATAATCGTGGAGCAGCTCTGATTAGAGAGAGTTTGGGGACTCAGGGCACTTCCTTCCCTGAGACTGTTTCAGGCCTTTTCATGGGACACTGAGAACACAGCTTGGAAACCACTGGCACAATTGTGTTTAATACAACCAATACCAGAGGATTTGCTGTGTGACCTTAGCCTGTCATTAAACCTCTCTGGGCCCCTTCTGTCTACCGGGGCTTCTGCCACCAGCCACTGATACCCCCGTCACCCTCTGTCCCCTGTTGCTCTCTCTGCCAGGCTGGCTTTAGAACGGAGCAGCTCCTCCCGGGAAGCCTTGCATGTGATCACAGACTTGCTGGAGCGCTATGGGCAGGGGGGCAGCTGCCGGGAAGACCCCGCACCATTCTGCTACCACAACACCTTCCTGTTGGCTGACCGCACTGAGGCGTGGGTCCTGGAGACCGCTGGGAGGCTCTGGGCTGCACAGAGGATCCCAGGTGAGGGACCAGCCTGGGGTCTGCCCCCTGGAGGTGTTCCCCCTTTGCCAGCCTTGGCAGGTGGGAGAGAGGGTCAGGGCAGGGAAGGGCCCAATCCAAGAGCAAGCCTCTTGGGACATCCAGGGAGAAGAGAACTTTAGGAATTCTCTTCCCTCTTCAGCTGGATAAGTCCTCCTTGTGCCTCAGCCTGCCACCTCCTCTGGGAAGCCTTCCTGGACTTCTCTAGGTGGTCAGGTTTCCCCCTTATGTGCAAACAGGTTTTTCATAGCACTCACCATGGTTGCAAAGTTACATTTATCTCTGTGATTATTCTGTCCACCTCCCCCACCACACTAGGCTCCACGAGGGTAGGTGGTTCCCTTCACCAGCATGTTCTCAGCTCCTAGCCCAGTGCCTGGCACAGCATAGGTGCTTAATGATAAAGGAACGACTCCCACATCTCCTCCACAGAGGGGGCCCGCAACATCTCCAACCAGCTGAGCATTGGCACGGACATCTCGGCCGAACACCCAGAGCTTCGGACCCATGCCCAGGCCCAGGGCTGGTGGGGCGGTCAGGGCACCTTTGACTTTGCTCAGGTCTTCTCCCTGGCCCGGCAGCCTGTGCGCATGGAGGCTGCCAAGGCCCGCTTCCGGGCTGGGCGGGAGCTGCTTCGGCAACAGGCAGGTCAGTGAGCGGTGCTGGCCCCTCTCCCCTCCCGCAGAGTCCCCTTCTGCCCCAGGGCCCTCACCCTCCCCTCTTCAGCAGGAGGCATCACAGCAGAGGTGATGATGGGCATCCTCAGGAACAAGGACAGTGGCATCTGTATGGACTCTGGAGGCTTCCGCACCACCGCCAGCATGGTGTCCATCCTGCCCCGGGATCCCACACAGCCCTGCGTGCACTTCCTCACTGCCACACCTGACCCATCCAGGTGGGAGGGATGAGGGCGAGGAAGACTGGGGAGGGGGTACCACAGGGGTGATGAGAGGATGTGATACACCTCAGCCCTTCCACCCGTGTCCCTCTAGGTCAGTGTTCAAACCTTTCATCTTTGGGGTGGGGACGGCCCAGGCCCCCCAGGTGCTGTCCCCCACTTTTGGAGCACAGGACCCTGTTCGGACCCTGCCCCGATTCCAGACTCAGGTGGATCGCCGGCACGCCCTTTACCGTGGACACCAGGCGGCCCTGGGGCTGATGGAGAGTGATCAGGTAACCCCAGGCAGTGGGACTCTGGAACCATGCAGGGACCCGGGAGTGGAGGAGAGACTCCAGAGCTGGGGGAGGGCCCCTCTCTTCAAAGCTAGCTGCCCAGGACAGTGCCGGCTCCTCCCTCCTTTCTCCTGCTCCTGCGAGGTGGCATACAGGCCTCGCTTCCTCCCGAGGGAAGCCCGTCCTGGGCAGACTCATCCCGGCTCCTCCCTGCAGGACCGGGGGCAGCAACTCCGGCAGATGCAGCAGGATCTGGAGCGGGAAGGCCTGGAGGCCGTGCGGGGGCTGCTGGCTGGAGAGTGGGCCCCACCCCCCCAGGAGCGGGGCTGCCTCTTCCAGACCTTCGTGGAGAGGGAGTGCCAGGCGTACACCTAAGCGCCGCAGCTCCTCCAGGACCCGGGAGCACCTGCCCTGAGCCAGAGCGCGGGGCCAGAGCAATCCCTTCACGCCCCTCAGCCATGTTTTCTGAGTGGCCAGCTCGACCTTTGCCTTAATAAATGCATTTTGTGTCCTTGTTCAGTGAACTTGATCCCAGATGCAGTGGGGGTGGCAGGGCCAAGTGAGGGCAAAAGGCGGCCTGGGGCTGGCTGTGGGGCCTGTGGTTGTCCCGCTGGGCAGCAGATCCTTATGACTTAGCTAATGGGGACTAGAGGAGAGGACGGGGAGGGGCTTCCCCGTGGTGTGCGCATGTGTGCGTGAGGATCATGCCTGGCACAGTAGCTGGCTACTCTTTGGGGAGAGTTAAGACCACAGGTCTTTGGTCCTTGGCTTGGGTCTGGGAAGGGCACTGCCTGGGGGTGGCAGTGAGATGTGCCCACCGTGAGAGGCACCCTCTGTGGAGGAGCCAGGAAGCCATCTGTGGGGCCTGAAGTGCGCTCGCCCTTAGGATAGTTCCTGAAAGATTAGAAACTTGGTCTGTAGAATCAGCCTGTGTGTTAAGGCACGAATTTTCTGTTTCCTAGTGCTTTTACTGGTTGCTTTCCCTGAGATGCCCCCAAATGACACGAAAAGCATATTCAGGGCCTGGAGCATTTTACTGGGGATGGGCTCCTGCCGCAGGTGAAGGAGGGCAGGCCCCACTCCACGCCACTCACAGAGACAGGCTGATAGAGAATCATTTCTTGACTCTCTTGCCTGTAGTTTTGGTTGTGTTGGGGACCCCAACCAGAGAGGCCTTGGGGGCTGCAGCTGTTTGGGCCCCCTTCCTTGCCTGGACAGAGCTTTGCTGGCCCCTGGGAACCAGAGTGCTTGCTTTCTTGGTGGGTGAGGCAGCCTGGGGTGAGGAGGCAGCCTCAGGGGGTGTCTCCTTCCCTTGCCTGGGAGTGACAGAAAGGCTGCTGTCCCCAGCCATGGGCACCACAGGCAGCAGGGGCAGGTCCGTGAGGACGGGCTGGGTGTCCATCCTCAGAAGGTGCTCTGTCAGGGCTGCCTGCTGCCTGTGCTCCTGGTGCCCGCTCATCTCCTGCTCCAGCTCCTGGAGGAAGCCTAGGAGAGGAGGGGTGGGGAAAGGGAGCCCCAGGCTCAGGGAGGTCTCTGGTGGACCCCCTGCCAGCTGTGGTGGGTAAGAGCCTGAGGCTGGGGCCCAGGGCTGCACTGTCTACCACCTCTGGCCCAGATGCTGCTCTGAGCTTGGGGTCCCCTCCCCAGACACCACTGCCATCTTAGCTTCCCCCATGCCCCACAGGGCAGGTGTGGGCTCCAGGGAGGCTGAAAGCCTTAGAAAGTAGGGTCACCTCGCTCTGAGCAGAATGGGCCACTCAGCTCCGGAAACTCTTCATCCTCCTCGCCAGAGGCTTCATCCTCCTCGTCTGAGGCCCAGCGTTCCAACACAGGCTGCCTGTCCAGGTCCAGGAGCAGCGGCAGGGCTTCCGTCACCAGCTCCCTGCAGGGCAGAAAGAGCAGCGGCTACCCAGGAGGGCACCCAGTGTGGAACCTGGGAGGAGTCAAAGACAGGCCACAGCACCCACGTGGAGGAATGGCGGTGCACGAGCTAGGGGGCAGGCTTGGGGTCAGCCTCAGAGAGCTGAGGGCTGGCTCCTGTGGGCTGATGGGGATGAAGGGGGAAGGTGCCATGGACGATGACCCCGGGGTTTGCAGCTGAGAGGGAGCCCGCATGGGCCAGCAGGGGAGCTCAGCCATCCACTCTTTCCTCCCGCTCTCCTCACCGGTAGCCGTCCTGCTTGGTGCAGCTGTTTCCTGTCAGGTTGAGGATGAGCAGGCTCTGGGGGAACTCCTCTGTGCATGCCAAGCGTGGGAGAATGAGGTTCTTGTACCCATCTTCCCATCCAAAGCCACCACCTCTCTGCCCAGCCTCCTGGACCCCCTGAGGACGAAGCGTGGACCTTCGGGGCTGTGGCTAATGCAAGCACAGGGAGATGGGTGCAGAGAGGACGGTGGGCCCCATGAGGACATGTGCCACGAGCCAGGGAGATGGTGTTCCTACCGAGCTTCAGTGTTTCTATCAGGTTCTCAGAAAGGTCCAGAAACTGGAGGCATGGGAGGTTGACCAGGTTTTCCACCTGCCTGATTTGGTTTCCTGCCAGAGACAGGAAGCTGTAGGGGAAGGAAGGGGTACAGAGGCAGAGCTGAATCACAGAACAGCTGGAGGAAGGGAGAGGGCACCAGGCACCTGAGCCCCTGGCTAGACAGCTGGATGACACGTGGGGACACATGGCCTTCTGGGGCGAGGGAAGCATAGCTAGGCTTGCTGGGTCCTCAGCTCACAAGGAGCCAGGCTTGGAGAGATCTGAACCAGTTCTCTGGGGTGTTGCTAGACTCTCCCCACCCACGCCTCCCCTGCCTGGGCCCTGGCACGACATACCGCAAGGAGGGTACACAAGCCAGGTTCTCAATTCGCTGGATCTTATTCTATGGGAAGAAACAGAGGTAGAGGTCAGCTGAAGTCAGCTGGGTGGGGGACTCTTTAAGGGGACGAAGCCCCAAGACACTGTCTACTCTTGCAGCTGAAGATCTGGTACTTTCGGAACGATAACCCCAGTCCTTGAATAGAATGCCACTACCTCAGAAACACGATTTGCTTTCTGAGTGGATGGTTAAGGGTCTAACTTGGAGTGGTTAAAGTATATGTTTCTGACCCCACAACCAAAGAGTGACCTGGGAATCAGAGAAGGAACCAAGAGGCCACCAGGGAAATGGAAAGGGCGTTGGCAGTGGCTTGCATACAGAGGGAACAATGAGCATACTTTCATTTGATTGGTAAAAGTTTCTGGGGGGAAAGTTTAAGGGAGCTGGGCATATTCAACCTGGGGAAGAAGATCAACCAGCCACCCCCAATCACCACCAAACAGCCTTTAAGGATCTGAAGGGTGTAGAGGAATCCTCATAGTTTCCGCATCATCTTCTTCAAAACAAGAAATGAGCTTGAGCTACATAACATGAAAGATTTAGGGTAGACACCAAGAAGAACTTCTAGACCAACAAACGTGCCTAATAAAGAACAGTATTTCAAGAGCATTCAGGAACTCTTTGGGGGGAATCAGTCTTTCAATTCAGCGGAATTTTTGATTCACCTGGGAAAGGTTTAAATGAAGGTCTGCTTGCCTGAACAACAGGGAATGGACAGGATGACAAATTAGCTCCACAGCAGGTGGGGAAAGAGGAGGCGCAGAGGGGCAAGAAGTTACCGCTTGCAGATAGAGGCTGTGAAGACTCCGGAGGGCCTCTAAGTTCCTGATACTGGTAATCCCCTCCCGGTCTAGGCGGACAGTCTGCAGTTCGGCAAGAGTATGAAACCTGGGAGAACAGTGGGCAAGGTGGTGTGATAGAGCGCCACTTCCGCGGTCTCTTAGCAGGGAGGATGGAGGTGGGAAGGTGTTTCAAGGAGGGGTAGATGGCTGAGTGATTTTGATCAGATGTCAGGAACAGCTTCTAGACATCTTGAGGTGGAGTCTAGATCATGAAACTGGCTTGACTGGAGACCTGGATCTTTGTCAGCAGCACGGGGAGGGGTCAGGGTGAGAGAGGGCAAGGGCCCTCTGGGAAACTGGGTGATGGCAGCTCATGGTTCTTGGAGAGATTCAGAGGTAAGAGAAGGCTTCCTCTGGCCAGCTCGGACGGTGGGGGCAGGGCAGGGACAGAGATGAGACAATCTCTGCAGGAAGAGCCTTCCTTGCCTCCATTTTGGGCGGCCCATGGAGGGAAAATCACTTGTTCCATCCCCCCATTCATTAATTCCACAACATTTACTGAGTGCCTACTAGAGACAAATGACAGAATCCCTGCCCATAACTATGAGAGAGGTAGGACAGACATCTATGGCAAGAGGATGGCAGAAGCAAGTACAAGGGACTGAGGGAGTACATGGGCTGTGCACCAAGTCCAGAGTAGAGGGATCAGGGAATGCTTCCTGGAGGAGGTATGACAGATGAGTAGGAACCCAAAAGATGGGAGAGGGATGGGGAGAAGGCATTTCAAGCAGAAAAAATAGTATGTGCTAATCCAGCCTTTCTCAAACTTAGGGTGCCCTGGAATCCCTTGGAGGGGGTTCATTAAAATGCAGATTCTGATTCAGTAGGTCTGGGGTGGGCCTGAGATTCTTCATTTCTAACCAGTCCCCAGGTGATGCCAATGCTGCTGCCCCTTCCCACCCTGAGTAGGAAAGTGCTAATGTATGAGAACAGGTGTGAGAAATTGCACACTTGTGGAGAGTGGCCAGAAATAAGGTTGAAAAGCTAGCAGAGGTCAACTCAAGCTTAGGTGTTCGGATTTTATTCTGGAGGTAATAGGGAGCGAAGGAAGTTTCTATCAGGGAGTGTCTGGTCAGACTTGTCAGTTAGAAGGATCACTTTGGCAACAGTGTGGGGAGGCGGACTAGGGGCAGGGAGACTAATGAGGAGTTTGTGGAGAGCTCATAACAGCCTATCTAAGGCAGTTGAGTGAGGATGATGAAAAAGAAATAGAATAGTTTTTAAGGAGGGAAAGTCAATTGGACACCCCTGATTGGATATGTGGAGTAAGCGGAGAGAGACAAGTAAAGCTCAGGGAACCGTCACCCTGGGCATTTCCGTCTCCCAGCTCCCCTTTCCTCCCCCGTGCACTCACATCTTCTCTGACAGTTCTTCATCCTCAGGGAAGGTCAAGTTCCGCTTAGTGATGAGGGCTTCAGTAATGCAGAAGCCCCCTTCCTCTGGACTTTCGGCAAGCTTAGCTGTGAAAAGATGACTCCAATTGTCACATTTCCTCATTCTTGTGTAACCAGCTCCATAAGCAAGAAAATGTATTCTCAATAAGATTTTTACTCCCTTATATTTCAAATAAGTTTTCAGTGTTCACATTATGGTTGGGGCTGGCAGCTCTAAGTGACCTTGATAAGTGAGTTTTATCTCAGCCCTGCTAGCTTAGCAGCTACGGTCTCATAATTGGCAGAAAATAGAGAGCTCTAGGTAAGATTTGCTGACCAGAACTTTGTAACTTTCTGTGGCACTGAAGCATTCTGAGTTTCTTTCCCAGAAACAGTGGAACCTCCCTGCAGCCATGAGATAGCTACAAAGCCTCACACCACCTGTTTGTCGGGAGAAGACAAGATAAGCGACACTCCACTACAGACCGTGCCCAAAGACACACTGAGCCTGCCCACAAGGCTGAAAGAACGACCAATATTAACCCCTAGCTCATTATAATACTAAAATCCCTGCCTTGGGACTTATCCGCCATTTTTGGATCATGGGATGTATGTGCTAGCATGATTTCTCACTGTGCTTGCGTGCCCTGCACTCCATCCCAAACATGCAATGATGCTCAACACCCCTCATGCCTTATTCATTTTGCCTCCAGAAAAACCCCCTGACCCCGTTGGTTGTGGAGGCGGATTTGAGGCAGTCCATACCTCCCACCTCCCAGTACATGCACATCCACTGAAATAAATCCTTCCTTGACAATCCTCGTTGTCTCAGTAATTGGCTTTCTGTGCGGCAAGCAACATTGATCCCCCTTGTGGGTTCATTAACACTTGGAGGCCTGCCCCCACTGTTTCCAACTGTTCTACCCACCATCCCACCTCCCTGACTCACCTCCAAGCATAATCTAAAATAAAAGGCTGCGGTCTGAGGCGGGAGAGGAAGGAAGAGGAGCCTAATGGCTTTGGCGGCTCCTAGGGATGACAGAACCCAGGATGGCAGGAGGAGAGAGAAACTCAGACTTGGGAGACAAGGGACAGGGGTTGGTTCAGAGCAAATCGTTGGAGCGGGGTCGAAGAAAACAGTAAATTGAGGTGGAGGGTCTGAAGTTTGAGGGGTGTGGAGGGGCTTTGCTGGCAGCAAACTAGAGGGTTGTGGGCAGGAATGGTGAGAGAGGAGCAGTTCCTAGTGTTCAGGAGTTGTTGCTAGGAGACCGGACGCCAGGTGGGGGGGCGGGGTCAAAGTGAACGCCAGAGCCGGGCTCAGCGCATGCGGATTACGGCTCCAGCTCACTGCTTCCGGCCCCGCGGCTCGCTGCCCCACAATGCTTAGCTCTTTCCGTCTCCGCTCGGCTCACGTCCGTTCTTCCGGTGGAGATGGCGGCGGTGGCGCCCGTGTCGGCGGCGACTGGGGTGCTGCGAGGGGGTCTCCTGCCCCACGCGGGTAAGGAGTGGCCCAAGTCTTCATGGTGTGTCCGGTCGGCGCCCTCTTGTCCTCGTCTCCCCTCGTCTACTAGTAATCCTTCCCGTAACCTCTGACCCCAGACAGCTCCCAGTGACCCCTAACCCCAGCCAAATCGCTGCCCTCTTAGCTGATCCAATTCCTTGTGACTCCAGAGTCTGGTAATCACAGAAACAGCGTCTAGCTCTTGTCCGCCTCCAGAGTTTCCTTTGCTTGGACCACTCCCCGCCTAGACCTTTGCATTATGCCTCCATCTTAAAATCTCAGCCTAATCGCCGGTCGCGGTTGCTCACGCCTGTAATCCCAGTTTCTGAGGAGGCCGAGGCGGGAGGATCGCTTTAGGCCAGGAGTTTGAGACCAGGGCAACATAGTGAACCCGTCTCTAAAAACAAAACAAACAAGGTCTCAGGCTAAAATGTCACCTCCTCAGGCCTTTCCTCACCTCCCTCTGCAAATCAAGTTTCTTCAGTTAAAGCTGTATTTATGCACCCTGTTTACTGACCCCTTAGCCCCATCACTATCTGAAAATTTGCATTTGTTTATTCGTGTGTCTCCTATTAAACTCCATAAGGGCAGAGCCATGTTAACTCAGTATAGCCAGCAGGTGGCATGGTGCCTGATGTTAGTAGACATGCAATAGATATTTGTTTAATGAATGAATTTGAGTACTTAATATAAGCCAGGCTCTGTGATAAATGTTTTACATGTATTATCTCATTTAAATCTTAAAGCACCATGTGAGAAAGGCATTATCATCCTCTCTTTATAGACAAGGAAACTGAAGTTCAGAACAGACCAGTCAAGTGACTGGTCAAAGTCACAGCTAATAAGTGGCAGAAAAGAATGAAATCCAGTTTCATTTGATCCAAAGCCTGCACTCTTAACAGGTTTTGTGGCCACTGGCAATAAAACCTCTTACCCCAGCAAATCTCCATGTTCTCTAATTGTTAGAGCCACCTTCTGGCTGAACCTTTTCCAGAGGTCCCGTCCCAGCCTTGGGAATGCCCGAGAATGGGAAACTAGTCTTGGCCCTTGTGTTAAGGATGAAGGGGTCACTTTGGCTGAGGGTTTTTGAGTGCCTCCCTTGTTTTCTGAGGGGTGCTCTCCAGCATTTCCCGTAAACAGGAAGAGAGGAGGAAAGACAGACTTGTCTGAGAGAGCTGTGAGGGTGATGTAACGTTTTCTTCCCCTCTTGTTTCAAATCACAAGGCCTGAGAGCAGTGGTTAGAGCACTGGGTTTCGAACTTTAGTATCCATCAGCATCACAAGAAGGGCTTATTAAAACACTATTTGCTGGGCCCCACCCTAGAGTTTCTGAATCGTTAGGTCTAGGGCAGGGTCTGAGAATTTGTATATCTAACAAATTCCCAGATGATGCCGATGTTGCTGGTGGGGGTGTGGGTGGGCATATTTTGAGAACCACTGGCTTAGACTAGAGGTTGGCATATTGTGGCAGGGCTGGTCACCATGTTTTATAAATAAAGTTTTATTGGTACATTCCTTATCTGTTTCTGTACATGTTGTCTATGGCTCCTTTTGGCATAGCTGAATGTTTGTGACAGACCATATGGATGGCCCCCAAAATTAAAATATTTACTATGCGGCCATTTAAGAACAAGTTTGTTCAACCCTCTCCCTCTTTTCTCAATGTGTTCAAAATACTTTCTCTTTTGTTCTGTCTGCACATAAAGAACAGCTGGAGAAATGGGAACCTCAAGGAAGGGTTCAAGCAGTTGACCTAAGGTCACCCATTAGAAAAGAAAAGTTTGAGAATTCAGGATTTCTGGCAGACAATTCCTTATCCCACGCTTGTGCTAAGTGTAGCTCAGCGAGTCATGATTGCCTCTGCCCAGAGGGTGTGCTTTTTCTCCATCTGGGGCAAACTAAGGCCTCCAAGAGGCTACATCTTACCATGTTCCCATCTCCCCTCCCAGGCCAGCTGCCGACCCTCCAGACTGTCCGCCATGGCTCCAAGGCTGTTACCCGCCACTGGCGTGTGATGCACTTTCAGCGACAGAAGCTGATGGCTGTGACTGAGTATATCCCCCCTAAACCAGCTGTTAACCCAAGATGCTTGCCACCTCCTCCCAGCCCCCCACCGGAGGTAAGGAGGAGTCTGAGTACACGTCACTTAGTGGCGGGATGGTAGACTAAAGCAATCTTACCTCTGGTTGTAGTGAAGTAGGACTCCAAGCTACAGTCACTCACATCATTATTTCACTTTCTCACTTTGACTGCATGGTCCAGATACTTTGAAATGAAATCTGCACTTGATTCGATTGGCCTTTGGGCTCTGGATTGGATGGGCCTCCGGGACTTCCTTCTTCTTTACTTGTCCCCAGAAATGTGTGTGTGTGAAACCTACTCAAGTAGGTGGGGTAGGGAGAGTATCTCTCCTGTCTTAAAAGGAGTTAAAGATTCTGTGTTTTCCTAGAGGAATGATAGAGGTTTTCTCTCCTTAAAAAAGAACAGAAAGATCAGTAGAGAATCTGTAACTTTCGTGGTGGTTCCCGTTATCGTAGTACATAATAAATTCCAGTTTTCTAGTTGTCTGCTGCTGTTTAAGGACTAGTTAGTTGTCACTTCCTGCTAGGGGCTAGAATGTGGGGAAGCAATGGGCAACTGCAGCCTGAGGGGTCTAGGTCGGATGTCTAACACTGATTGAAGAGATGATATGAGTCATTTGGCAGCAATTCCTCAAGGACAAATAGGAGGACAGCCCACCCATCCCACCCATCTGGGTTTTCTCCCCGAGAGCAAAGAGCTGTCTGAAATGAGCCCTGAAAGTTCAGCCTATAGAGTAGTACCTGGCAAACCATGTTTTAGTGGCTGGGTGTCTTTTACTAGCTCTTAGCTTTTGCCAAGCTAACATCGATTGACAGCATTTCTCCCCCAATTGGGACAAAAGTAAGGTCATTGAATGGAATTTACTTTTTTTTTTAAATTTATTTATTTTATTTTATTCATTCATTCATTCATTTGTTTATGAGACAGTATCTCGCTCTGTCACCCAGGCTGGAGTGCAGTGGTGCGATCATAGCTCACTGCAGCCCGGAGCTCTGGGCTTAAGTGATCCTCCTGCCTTGGCCTCCCCAGTTGCAGGGACTACAGGTGCATGCCAGTACACTTGGTGAATTAAAAAAAAAATTTGTATGGAATTGCCCGGTCAGATTTTTTTTTCCCATAATTGTTTCTTTTTTTTTTTTTTTTTTTTAAGACAAGTTCTTCCTCTGTTGCCCCAGCTAGAATGCAGTGGTGTTATCATAGCTCACTGCACTCTCAAACTCCTGGGCTCAAGCAATTCTCCTACCTCAACCTCCCAAGTAGCTGGGACTACAGGCTCACGCCACCATGCCTGGCTAATTTTTCTCTTCTGTGTAGAGACAGGCTTTTTCTCTTGCTCAGGCTGGTCTCAAACTTCTGGCCACAAGCAGTTTTCCTGCCTTGGCCTCCCAAAGTGCTAGGGTTACAGGTACAAGCCACCACACACAGCCCATAATTTTTTCTTAAGCCAATGGTACATACTACCTCATAACTATAAGAGAATCTAGAACAGCACTATGCAATAGAACTTTCTGGATAATGGAAATATTATGTATCTTTGCTGT